ATGGTATTGATATATAATTTATGATTTTTTAGTTATTCAACTGTATATATAAAACCTAAAAAAATTATTTTGTTTCATATCCTCCACCTGCAAAATTTTAAAAAGGCTTAGCAAGCTACGACAAGCAGCAACCAAGTACAAAGGTCGTAACTAGGAAAGGTAATTGTTCGCTTTACTTCTATGTTTTAAGAAAAATAAGTTTAAGAACTTATTTCTAAATAGCACTAATCTATATACATACATAATGTATAATAATTGAAATGGGACTATTTTACAAAATACTAGTCTACTAAAACACAGCCAAGATAAGTCACTTTGTAGTGACTAAAGGTCCGTTATATATATTATTGGATACAGTAACATGAGTGCACATGTGGCACATCATCGTACTTTTGTATTTTTAGCCAGGCACGGCTGAAAGGTCAATATACTATAAATAATGAATATATATAAACGTATAATGTAATAAGATTTAAGCTGTTTAGTCTAAACATTTATGTTTTCATGTTATAATCTGTTATGCCTTATTCTAGAATGAAAAAGGCATAACTTATATTTATTTCCTAATTTTTTATGGTGGTTACGAGATCGGTCAAATCTACTGAACCCGTATAGAGATTAATTACTGAAAATAACAAATAAAATATAAAGTTTTTTCTTAAGAAAGGTTTGATAACTTTCTGGACATTATAAAGATTTCACATGTGAAATTTGAAAATTTTCTGATGCATAAAGTATTTTTAATCTTAAAATGAAAATTACTTTGCATGTTTGATAGGCAACATGTGAAAAGAAAAAAAAGTTATGAGAAAAACATTGCTTAGCAATCCCTATGACTTAATAAAAAATTAGATATTTTGTATATGAAAGCATTGCAATGTTTACTGATAATCTGCCAAATTTCGTTAACATATGTTTACTAATTTAAAAGTTATAGCAAGAAAACTATAACAAGCACAAAATGGTTACAAGGTCGGTCTCAGGGACTGAGCCCATGCCGAAAGAGTTAAGGTATTTTACAATAATTCGTTTTTGTAATATTAAGAATAATATAAAATACTTATACTTTGTACAGTTAAGTATCAAATATTTAAGAATTTATTTGGAAGTGTTTATATATATATAACTTATATATCATAATACTGTTATTGGTCCTGGTTGTCACCTTATTGTCATAATGGATAATGTCTGTGGTAATAGCACCCAAATGCATTGGGGACATCCCAACTATCAGACCATTTCCAAATGCCGATGTCAAACTAGTTAGCCGTCATGGAAAAAAAATAAAAAATCATCAATCAAATAAGGGTACAAAGCTGAATGCTTACACCCACAGCGTCTCAGCTTCTACTGCCTTTCACTGTCTATAGTCAGTTGTGGGAAGGCAGCCACCCTTAAATTTCTTAAAGTAGAAATGAATCCCAACCTCCACCCTTACAATAGATATTAAATAGAACTATACACCCTACCTTAAAAGTTCATTTCTAGTTCTAACTCCCAACTTCCTCCTTTCTCCTGGAGATTTATTCAAGTATAACATGGGAATGCCAAGACAAGCCCAGCTACTGGTTTTACTGAATAAAATTATTAGAAAAATTATTATTAGCTACTTATAAGCTAAAATAACTAACTCTCTCAATATTTTATTTATAAGATATTTTCCTTAATCTATAGTTTAGTTTCTAAAATATTTTTGTATTTATTAAAAAATAAAGTAATGTATTTATTTAATTGCCTCTCTCTTTAGCCAATATCTTTCAATTCATTTTTTAATAATAAAACATTATCCATAAAAAATTTTTAGTTATTACATACTATTAAGAACCATTTTATTTGAGATATAATACTACCTTTTTAGATGTGGGTAGACCAAGAATGGGAAAATTAAATTATCTTCTTTTATCAAAAATAATCAACTGTACTGTACCTTCTATAAAAGTAATGTCCAAATTTAAATAATTAGCATGGATCTCATTATTATTATTACTTCTTTTTATTGTAAGTTCTGTTTGATATATTAGGTTTGGTGTAAAATTCATATTATTTGTAGATATTAAATCCTCTATGTAAAATAAAGTGTACATGTATAAGTTAGGATTTAAAGTCTGCTTCATACATAGTTTTCATAACAGAACAGATACAGATTGGCCATATTTGAAAAGAAGTTTGTTAAACAATATAACTGTTATAAATACAGAAATGGAGTATATTTTTACATTGAATTCTAGTAAATTTAAATTTGGGTAT